GCTTAGGCAAAGTGTGCAACTTTTGTGGCTAGACATAAATCATCTGATTTTTTTTTCCATAGAGAAAATGGGGAATTTAAGAGTTAATGAACTTACTTGAGAAGTAATAGCTATTGTAGACAAGAGGGAGAACAACATTTTGTTCAGCGCCATGAAACAGAGAACAGGTGGGATGAAGCAGAGAGGAAAAATGAGACAATGACAAACCCACAAAAAAAAATGCAGTTATGTCTGAAAACGCTTGAGAAATTTGAAGCCTCGGCTAAAGAAACTGATGTACAAGAGATGAAAAAGAGTTCTGAAAAACTATTAAAGTGAATGCCTGTTACAGCAAAATGGCTAACCCAAGAGATGGACAATGCAGTTTAATCCCATACAGACAAATTTTGACCAAATTTATTTTGCATTTGAGATTGAGCATGACCCTCTTAGCCTATGTTGTATCATTTGTGAAATAAATTCACTGGAGCAGTGAGCAGTGACTGACAGCCCCTGCTGTCACAGTGCAGTGCTGCCTGTACTGAGTGCCCCTGTTTGACATTCCCAGGCTGGCACCGTGGGGTGGTTGTGGCTCTGCCCTCTGGATGCCTCCTGACACCAGCAGCATCACTTCAGGGAGCTGCAGCAGGCAGCTGGCTGCACTGCTGGACAGCTGAAACCAGTAAACATGGGGCTTTTTGTTCTTTGGGGTTTTTCCCTCCATTAAGGCAGTTTTAAAATCAAGAAAACATTTCTTTTTAAATATTTACTTGTTTATCTATGGGAAAAGAAAGTTTCAAGACATCCTGCTTTCTGGCATTGCAGGTATGTAGTGATGTGCCCACCTTGTCAGGGTATTTTGAGGGGCAGAGGTGGTTCTGCAGATCTCTACTGAAGGCTCCCAGAGACTGTACTGTGGGCTGCAAAGAGAAAACAATCAGGAATAGAAGCTGCTACTTTGAGTGGATTGAATTTTGACTCCTCCCTCATGTCTGGGCCAAATAGGAGCAGACAGCTTACATGCTGATGAGGTCCTTTTTCATGATTATGTGCCTTTTGCTTCCTCTTTTCCAGGCTCCATGCTGTGTTGTACAAGGCTGGAGAAGTGTTCAGCTGCACTTAACTGTGTATTCATGACCCAAAGGCCATTTTTAATAAAGTCCAGACACAGGGATACCTGGTCTTAATGGCACCAGAAGACATTTCAATACCCTACATGAGAGCTGATAAATCTACATACAGGCAAGGGAAGCCCACAAGGGGCACAGCACCACCACTTACACAGCCAAGCTTGGCTTTGTCACTCCATACAGTTTCAAATTCCAGGCTCAGCTGCAGAAGAAGATGTGGGCTGGCTCTGTCTATGCTAAAGACAGGCCTTGAGGATACTTGTGCTTACAGCTATCCAAAGATGCCTTTTCTCCTTAACAAAGACTCTGTTTTTTCCATCTAGCTGCCAACCCTAGGCATCCTGAAAGAATATTATTTCTAACAGGCATTCAAAGAGAACAGAGATGCCTGAGTAGTCAAGAAATGCCCAGCTGGTTAATGCAGTAGGTAAGTTTTACTTTTGGTATAAAAACCTCTGTGGGAAGAAAATGTCATGTAAGCTGTGAGACTTTTGAGTAAAACAAAAGACTGAAATGAAACTGTTAGGTGATTTGATAGGCAGTCTCAGGTCACCTGCTGCCATCTGGCTGGGCACTGCATGTATCAATAGGATTTGCTTTGGTGATAAAGGCAGGAGAATTTGGATCAAATTAATTGTTGAGGATATCACTTACTATTGATTCAACAATGATAATTTTGTTGGTCCTAAACTACAGAGGTAAGAAAAAGAGATTAAAAGACCCAGCAGGTGTAACAGGATGATTAGGATGACTGCCATGGAGACTGAAGGGTAAAGGCAATTGTGAGAAATTCTATGGTGGTAGTAAGATATGCCAGGTTTCTTCAGTGCAGACACCAAAACATTTGTGCCACCGTGTACAGCATTTGGCAAACCTTTACTCGGGCAGAGAGCTGAGAGCTGCAATGGTCAGAAGAGCTGGAACTAGCAAATATGCAGGCAGGAGTGTCAGGATGCTCAAGGAGGACGTGGGCAGTCGAACTGAAGGAAAACAGCAAACAAAAGAGTAAGAACTATACATTGTGCCTAGATAGGAAGCAGAGCAATAAAAAGAGGTTTTGAGCCAGCTCAGAGATGAAGCTCAGATCGAGCCTTCTAGAGGATTGAAACATGCCAAGCGCATGAGTGGTTAAGAAATGATGACTGATAAGCAGGTAAAAGGATAGCAAAACTAATCCAGACACTTCCTGGTGATAAAATGATTGAACTTTGCCACTGAAACTTGTAGGTGTCTTCAGAGTCAGACATTAAAAGAAGATTAAAAATATTCTTTGCCAGGGCAATGTGTGCATTGTAATTACTGGCTTACATTCCCAGATCCTCAATCACTATTAACCCCAGTGTTCCTTGGTGCATGACGGTTTTTCCCTTCTGCATCCTATCCAAAGTTGAACTGACTCACTGGACAGTCTGATCTGAGAGAAGGAATTCCTCCTCGTCTCCTTGGTCGTTTGACTCAGACTAGTGAGAATTTTTGGTTTTCTCTCTTCTGTACCTTTCTTGGATCATTAGAGAGGAAGTTTAACAAAACCTGGATTGGTGCAGGGGTGATCTAGGCAGCTCTTTCAGTGCACTGTCCATATGGATCACTACAGATTATATCACAGAAACATGCACTGGATAGTTTTGGGGAGCCTTTCCAGCCCCTGCTGTAACTGGACTGTGGAGCAAGCATTTTCTAGGCTGAGCCAGGAGAGGTGTAAATAGCTTGATGTTGTATTGTACATTTTCTGGTAAAAAGAACAACCTGCCAGTCATTAGGTAAGTACTAGAAGTCAAATTATCCAACCCACTAACTACATTCTGCAGTGTAAATCTGCATTATGGCCAAAAAGGTGTAGAAACACCAGGCCTTGCTTGCCTTTGTAAAGCAGTCAGCCAACAGCTGTTAAATTCTAATTACACTGTTCAGATGACAAGGGAGAAGACAAGGGTGTTATTTCTGCAGAATAATTCTAAAAACTGCCCCTTGAAAGTATAATAGCACAGTGCCAGGTAATTCCCCTAGTAAAATGTACTGGTTATGGTTACCACAGCCTGGCAAGAACTTTTGATGATAGCTGCCCAACCACAGGCAGTGTTACAAGGTTATGTTCCTCTAGATTAGAAACTCCTGGAAAAGCAAAAAAAAACAAAACCAAACCTGCCTTGGCTCCACAGTAGTTACCACTGCCTTGCTCTCTTTCATATGGAACTTGAGCAGTTTACCAACTCTTCAGATTGCAGTTTTGACCATCATTAGTTATGTGAGATATTTTTTAAAAAAATTAAAACTGTCAGGAACACTTAGGAGCACTTATTGATTTTTATTGATTCACTTATCTTCAGGTACTTCAGTTTTCAGATTGCAGTTTTGACCATCATTAGTTATGTGAGATATTTTTAAAAAAAATTAAATCTGTCAGGAACCCTTAGGAGCACTTATTGATTTTATTGATTCACTTATCTTCAGGTACTTCAGCTTACAAAGCAAAGTGTACAGACAGTCACTTCAAGGATTGTTTTGTCTTTGAACTGTTTTGTATTGACTTTTCAAAGCATGTGCATGTCCCAAGAGCTCATCACTCCTCATAATTTAATAATCCCTAGGAAGCAGTTCTTCTTTCTGCTCCCTGAGCTGCCATGAATTATGCAAATCTATCTGACCAGGATGAAAGATAGATTTTTCATATAATCTTACTGATTCTTCCATATCCACCTAAATATCTCCATCATTTTAAACATAACTTCATTTTCACTTGGTTTTATCATCTGCTAGAATTCTATGTAAGATCAAAAGTAGGAAATTGGGATTTTTTTTCAATAAAGCTGAGCTAATTATGCAACCTTGCTGTAAGAGTGCTAGTGGAGCATCAGCCCATTGTACTCCCTTAATAAGCCTCACTTTGGCTTTGATCAGTTTCCTGTGTCCTTTAATATCGTGTTCACATGCACCAGTCAACACAATTCACTTTCTCTCTTCATCCTTATTTGCTATTTCACATAGACCAGAATGTGCAATGTATGAAATCAGTGATTGCTTTGTCTCCTTTTAGACTCCAAAGTGTCCCCAATTGATTGCCAGGTGCACTGAGTTACCAAGGACAAATCTATAGTTTTGCTAATAAAGAACCTTCATTTAAAAAGGCATCTTGACATTACCTGGGATTGGGATGGGGAGAGACAATAATGTGCCTTTTATGTGTTCTGAGATCATTTGCAACAAAATTGGAGAAGTTCTTGAACAATGCCCCCAACGCATTGAAGGTGTGGAGCTACCTGGGAGTTACTGTGAAGCTTATGCAATTTAAAATTTAGGTGTAGGCGCTAGGAAGGAGAGAAAAGCAGCTTCCAACCCTTGTCCCTTCAAAGGGCTTAATTGCTCATTAGAAATAACCATGGCAACAGTTACCATGCCCCATTAATCCATCACACAAGTGGCCAGCACCAGCTGCTTCAAGTTAAGGCACAAGAGGACCCTGCAAGAGTCTGTATTCCCCTCGCTGGAAATCCTTCCTTTTTCATCTAAAAGCTGTCCAATGTACACCAAACTAGTGAGCTATCAGTATTTCATAGCATTGAACTCCCTGAGTTCACCATGACCTGTTAAAATGAAAACCCATGTTACCATTAAGAAAATTAAGAATATGGTCAAATGCACTCATTTTCTCATCTGCTCCTATTCACCATTTGTTAATGTTTGTATATTTTTGTACAGGGTTCATTACTGTCTATACAACAGAAGTGCTTTTTTTCTTTTCTGTTACAGTGAACATGTAAAAACACAGTGTGAATTGGAAAATCTTCATTTCTAGAAGTCTCTAGTACTTAACACAGAGAGGGAATGAAAGCTGAAGCTGCTGAACTGTCCTTAAGCTGTGTGTATTGGGAACAGAATGATACAAACTCAAACTTCTTAAAACAAGATTTATTGGCACAAACATACATGTTACAAATGTCTACGATACTCTTGGAAAATATGTTCACCACCTCAAAAAAATCACTGTTCACAGAAAAAGTACAGTAATATCAAACTTTGTAAGTCATCACAATTTCAGCATCAAAATACATGCATTTTATCATTTATAAATGAAATTCCACTGACCTCCAGGTAAAGCACTTTAAGAAAATGTCCTGGTCTCCACAACATTATTTTTTCCTCTCCAGATCGTTCCAATAAGGTGCAAATGGGTTGTTTTCTGTAGAGGCACGAATCACAGCTCCTTGCTCGGTACAGCTGAGTCTATGAGGTGAGAGATGCTGTTCTCAGCACAGACTTTCAGGCCCTTTCTGAGTGTGTTACTACAGAGCTTAACACCACTGTGTGGCCTTTAAAAGAATGCAACTAGAAATTTGGTCTGGAGTTTGGGCTTTTAAAAGGACAACTGAAAACTTATTTCTGATTGTTCCCATTACAGGAAGTAAAGCTTGAAAAATCACAAGGAAAGAGGTAGAAGAAAGGTTTTTATTTTGCACTGCCATTCCATCAGCATTTGAAACAGATGTGGCATTGCCAAGGATACTTTTGAGGAGAAAGAGTAACCTCAGTAAATCCTCTTCTTTCATTGGTGCCAGTCTAGTAACTTAGCAGCCACTCAAGATTTTGCCACTGACCTCAGACAATACAGAACAAGACTTCAGCAGATGTCCTGACCCTGATTCTGTGCCTATTCCAGTTTCAGAGCCAGAGAAGCTTCACACACACACACACACACACACACACACAGGGGAGAGAATGCTCTGATGTCCTCAGCACGATCACATCTGCCTCAGTCCAATGGCAACAAGAAAGAAAGAAAATTTCTTGATGTCAGTGGAAAGTCTTTGAAAAAAGGGAGTTTGCACTTAATTCCACTAGATCTGAATTTGATTCCAATCAGATCAGTGCAGAACAGAACAAAAAGGCAAAATCATAAACCACGTGCACTCACAAAGGTGTTTCCTGCACTTTTATCAGCCTCAGTAGGGCATTGAACATACCCAATGACAGAACTGGTTGTGGAGCCATGGGCCTTGAAGATTTTCAGATTTTTTGTCTCATCAAGACAAAACCCGTGCAACCTGTCCCAGCCTCAAAGGCAGCCCTGCCTCGAGCAGGACATCGGACAGGCAACCCCAGCAGGCTTTTCTCCCTAATTCTTTATCATTCAAAGGAAAGGCTTTTCCTCTTCTGAATTGGAACACAGCACAGATTCCACACCAGGCCTGGATTTAGCAAGGACAAATGAGGGGTTTTTTTGTGTTAAACAGAAAGCAGAAATTCCCTGTCTGCTTAGGCACATGTTGAAGTCACTTCCAGGCCTGGCCATGCCCTGCTGCTCACTCCAGGCTGGTGAGACTGCAGTGCTGAACTGATGACACAAACACCTCCAGAGGCTGCTCTTCTCTGTTAACACTCAAGCATAAGTCATTAAGGAAAATACTAATTAGCTGGCTATGAACTCATTTCCTGCAATGAGCATAACAAGTTTATAATAAGAGTTCATATATTGCCACTTAGAGGACTTTTTTATGCTGCAAAGCAAACTAAAGGTTGCTCACAGTAGACAGTGGCTGTTTCATCTCTTTCCTGCTTGGAAGGAGAACATCTCACCCAAATGGCAAATGCCTGGTCTACATATATAAGCACTTCCTTTGGAAAGGGGAAGGAAAAAAGAATAGGACTTGTCAAATAAAACTTTAACCTCTACACACTTGGTGCATCCCCCTCAGAATGTATTTTTGCAACAGACAAAGCATGTTTTTTAAGTCCTGCTCTTGAGTAGGAGGTGCTAATTTCTAATTTTTCAGTGATGCTGATAAACCTCATGTGAGTGATATTTTACCACGTTTGTGGTTGGGGCAGAGAGGATGTTTCATTTACAAAAATAATTATGTTTTTCATGACAAGTAGTGGGCTATCTGTAACATTTTATTGTGCAGACCTGCGAGTGTGTCATAGCAATATTAGCATTTTATTGTCTGGGGAAAAAGTAGATGGAACATAGACTGAAGTTAGCTTTTCCAATGAGAAAAAAAATATTCTTTCATCTATAGTTAAGTTTTGGAAACTAATTATTTGACTATTTTTATAGCTGCTAATTGCTTAAATAATATGTAAATAAGTAATGGTTAAACTTTATACCCATAGTCTTTACCATACATTTCTACTTTTATTCAGAATAATTTTTTCCCTTTGGGTTTCATGAAAGCCTGAGCTTGCATTATTTAGTAGCTTGCTAGTGGCATGGTAGTCACTCCAATCACTGAATTTTTGGTTCCAGACTACTTTCATTAATAAAGAAATGTTAGCAAACTTTCAGATCAATACTATAAATATTAATAGCTAAACTTCTAAAAAAAATTATGCATTGTGCATGTATGAATTTGTAGGTCCATTATATGCACTATCTCTATCCTTGTTTTTATAAAGAAAATAACTGCAGCTGCCATTATTTAGTTTTACTTTAAACAAACCTGTAATGTATCAGGGGTAGAAACTGATTTAATTCTTTCAAACTTTTCCTCACAAAAAGCTCAGACCACCACCAAGTGTTCACATATATATGACAGGAAGGTAATGGACTCAACAAAGGGATTTTTTACCCTCACCTTAGGCCATTTACAGGTGGACAAGCACAGGAAGTGGAGTGGATTGAGAGTAACCAAAATAATCATGCTGTGTCAAAAAGATTCCATTACTGAGCCCAAACTGCTCTAGGACAAAGTGGGCATTCAGGCTGGATCTTTGCTGCCCCAGGCACTCTGAAATCCTAATTTGACTGAAGTCCTTGAGCACTGCTGCAGCTGCCAGCAGCCCCAAGTCTGGGGCTAGAACACCCCAAAAAGTGCTGCACCATCCTTCCTGCATCCATCTCCTGCATTGTCCAGGAAAACCACTGCCATCTGTCACAGTTCATTTTAAGTATTTGAATTTAATAGACAAGCACTGCTTAATTTTAATATAAAAAGGGTTCTCTTAGGTAGAGCCACTTAAAGAAGGGATTTTACTGAATGTTAGCGATATTTCACTTGCACCATTTGCCAATTTATGATATTGTGACTATCACAATATCCTTATTTACTGTTTCCTTTCTTTCCAACTAAATGAATGAAATTACTGTTACAAGAATTGTTAAATAAATTTAATTAAACTTCCAGTGCTGCAATTTAAGGTAGCATAGCAAAAATGCTATTATTTAGCCTCTTTTTGTATCCCATAATTTTGAAGCAAATGGAGACCCAGGAGCCTTGTTCTGCCCCAGGTGTGGCTGACCAGAGAGGGGAGGTTTGAGGGGAGCTGAGTGTTGTGGGAGGAGGTTCTGCTTCAGCCAAAGCCACCTGAGCTCTGGCTGAGGGCAGCAGTGACAGTGTGGCAGCAGGCAGGGAGCCAGCCCAGAGGGCAGAACAGCCCCAAAATTCTGTGCTCCAAATACACTACACTCCAAAACCACAACAGCTTTCTAAGAGAACAGAAAGGGACTTGAAGAATAATGGTTAAGCCAGACACTGTGAGAAGAGCTAAAGAATGGAGAAGTTTTTTTTTTCATAATTGTCTTTGTTGTTCTCTATGATATTTTCTCTTTGAGAACAAGTACTTTGCCCTTTTAAAAGTATAGCACATGGCTTTTTTGGTTGAATAGAGTGTTACGTGCAAACCACGAGGCTGTATTCATGTTTTGAAGAGGTGCAGGTTCTGGTTTTTTGCTTTGGAGAGTTAGCAGATGTGATACACTCATGACAGAATGAGGTTACTGCAGGAGTGACTCATTGTTGAATAATCAAGTGTTTACTCCACCAAAACTGCATGTAACCAGACTGCCACAGTTTTCCTGCTTTATTCTAAGATGTAGCTTTTAAATGTCAGTGCACCAGGAAGGAAGGTAAACTCCTTGGGTGGCTCAGATCTCTTTTTATGCATGTGTTTAAAGGCAGAGTGTCTTAGGGTTCTCAATGGAGAAGAAAAACTACTGAGCACATCAACTGAGACACACATTAATCAGCTGAGGAAGGGAAATTAACTGGAGAAGAAAACAAAATCCTTTCCTGAAGTATTTCTGAAGTAGACCAGATGGAGAAAGAACACCTGGTGTGAGGTTCTGGTTTGGTTGTTTCATACATCCCAATCTAGTATCCCTCCTGACAATAGTGTTACCATTTGAGAAATCTTCAGCCAATAATTTCTCTAGCTACAATTCATTTTTTTTCAAACTACCTTCTTCAGCCTTTTGATTTTTCTTTTAAAGAAGCTAATTTGAGCATGCTTGTGCTTTCTCTGGCTCAAATATATCCTGTCCAGAAACAGGGACCTAAATCAGGTGAGGAAGAACTGGCTGGAAGAGCATCTCAGTCTTCTGACGAGATAGAGGGCCCAAAGGTTATGATCTGTTACAGGTCTAAAGTTCAGGTCAGGATGCAAATCCAGATCAAAGAGACTTTGAGACCTTTCTCTAATACTCACTGTGTACATTGGGAGGGAGCCCAGTGCCTTATATGGCTGCTGGTTTAGCCCCTTCCTTGTTTAAAGGGCAGGAGGAGCAGGGCTGAGAGATAAATCCTGGATCATACCCAAGTGCTCCCGAGGTTATTTGTGAAGGTCTCCCACCAACACGCAATCAAGGTGCTGTCTTAAAAAAAAAAAACCCAGATCATGCATATTCCCTCTGTGTGGATAATCTCCCACAGAACAGAGAAAATTCACTCTATGAAAGCATGAAAGAGTTGAGATCGAGCTTCTGAAAGTTCCTCAAGTTTGAGTTTCCCATGGTCAATGCCCTTCTGGGAAACAGACATCATTTTGCAGGTATGCTGAAATATCGATGTAAAGTCAAGAACTTGGTCCTAAAAGCTAAAATCCATTGTACTCAGACAAGAAGTAGTGCAGCAGCTCATAAAATCAAAGCTAGGTGAAGCCTTGTCACAAGAGCAGTGACAGAAACCATGGAATTTTAAAAGGTCTTGCTACCCAGACAAAAGCATAGCAGACTGAGGCTGTTCTAATTAATTCCTTGCACAATCAATAATGTCCTGATCTTCCATCACTGTTTAAGTCACTTACAGCAGATCACTATATAAAAAGAAAAAAAGCCAAACATTTTACTTGCCTGAATAGTTCCTGGGGGTAACATCCTGCAGGTTCCAACTGAATGAAAATGCCAGCTTTAGTAGTCCAACTGATTACATTTCTAAATCACTCCTTGTCTTACAGACCCTAGGTTACGTTCAGAATCTTTATCAGATTCTCCCATCCTCCTTCTAATAGTATTGGATTAGGTTGGACTCTGTTGGATTGACTGTGCTGTTATGTAATGCTGTCAAGTGAAAATCAGGTCAAGTACCTCGTTAGGGCTTCCACACTAAGTTTTCTTGCCAAGTTCTGTGCAACACCGGTTTTGGGTTTAAAGCCACATCTGTGTTTTTGGGTTTAAAGCCACATCCGTGTCACTGCAATGTGAGCTAAATTTGAAAGTGTAACGCCCAAGCAGGACCTCGGCAGCCTGTTGATAGTGGGTGCAAGCAACCCTTGTTCAAGCTCAGAAGCTGATGGAGGATCATTGACAAGATCACTGAGAAGACAAGCAGCAGCCATGGTACAGGCACTGAGCAGCTGTTAACCCCTTCCTTTCAGCCGTGCTGTGTGGGAAGGGCATCTCCTGCTCTACAGCCTCCAGAAAGGAGGAGCTTCTGGTAAGGATGGAATATGCAGGTCTCAAACAATGTCTAATTCTGGATAAAGCTATCAAAGGCATTGCTTCCAGCCAGAAGAGGCCTCAGTTTGGTCCCCAAGGTGGCAGTCAGCCATGGCCCTGCAGTCCCCTGAGGGTTTGACAGGTGTCACTAAAGGAAGCCCTTTTGTGACGTTTTACCAGCCCAGAGGAAGAGCCCAGGCACTATCAGTGGCACAGAGCAGGAGCTGAAATTCTAATTGGGGGTGACTGAACAAGAATGATTTAACCATTTCATGGAAAATCCACAGGCAGGCAGGTGTAACTGCACAGACCTTTCAAACGTAGAGTGGAAGGCAATCAATGCTGGCTCCAACTGTGCTTATATAGATTGTGCTCTGCACCAGCCTGCACGGATGTGAGAGATGCCGTTGCACAATCTATGACCCTGAACAGTCCTGCATTATCATGTTCTCCTGGCTGAAGGTATAACCCTCTGCAAGAGCAGCTGAGCTCTGTGCATCAGGGCAAGACACATTTGTTCATGCTCTCTGGGCAGAATTAGAACGATTACATGGTTTATCTCACCAATTACAACCAACCACCACAGCACAAGCAGTAGCAAACATTGAGCATTCATGAGCACACTGTGGGCCAATAACTTTGAAAAGTTAAACACATTAATTTACCATACTTCATCACCACACAGGAGGAAATAGTCAGGAGGAAACATTCTACAACCCACTAGAAGGCAGATTTCTTAACTTTTCCTCACAAATTCTCACTTATATTTAGCAGTCATCCCCATTAGTTACAATTTTGAGAGAGAATGGATCCACATTCCACAAAGAGCAGTTTCTGTTCTCCACTCAGCTAAAGGTGAGATTTGATTTTTATTATTAACTTGCTTGAACTACATTAGCTGGGAGGATGTGAGCTTTGCATCCTTGTAGCACTTCCACTGCAGTTTCATGTTGGAGCTTTATGTGTTTGTAGCTAGAGGATTCAAACTCGTTAATGTGCATTTGCACTCCTATCAGCTGAGTATCAGTTCAGCCTCCCAGAGGAGAAGGAACATCTGTATTAAGGCTCAGTATCAGCATTTCACCTTCCTGATTGCACCACCTCCAGCAAAAGCTGTCTTCATCTCATGAGTCTGTTCAGCAGAGAAGCCCTGAGAGGACACCACGCCCAACACGGGTGTGGGTGGCAGGTCCCACTCTCAGCAGATAATTCCAGTTACCTTAGCAGTTTAAAAAGGCTCCTGAAGTTGGATGGCTCATTTCTCTCCCAGTGAAAGCTCATTTATACACAGTTGTGTCACCTCACAGAGTCAGGCCATTCATCCCTGCTTGTTTTTGTCCAGCCCAGGATTTCTGAATTGTTTGTGTTCTCACCCAGTGAAGGACTGAAGTGATCAGGGCACACCAGGGAGTCCAGGATCACATCAGTAACTTTGAATATTCAGCTTCATAAAGGCTGGGGCCACTTATGACTTAATGATATGAAGTAGTACAGGTAACTATAAAGTGATAAATATTTAGGGAAAAAATGCAACTGGAACCTTTTAATTGATCATTACTTATTCTCTCTGCAAAATGCTACTTCAGCACAATTTATATATAGATTCACAGCAACAAACTGGTCAGGCTCTCAATTTTTTTTCTCTAAAACTGTGCAAGAGAAATACTCCACAGTGGGAATATTTACATTACTATTATCACTGTTTCAATTCCCTAATTAAATTGCAGACAAAAAACCCCAACACATCAAATTCTTTTTTTTTTTTAATTCTATGAATTCTTTTTAGAAATTCTGAAGGAGTTATTCTGAAAAGATCCTTTTCTGAATTTCCTGGCTCAAAATTTGATTAATTAATTTTTAATTTGGTTAAAGATGATTAAACTATTCACTGTTTTAAAAAGAAAAACAAGAAATTCACAAAAGCATAAAGAACTTTCTCTCAAGCCACAATATATAATTTCTTTTAATTACATCAAATGTTAGTTTAAATTAATTGAGTATAATAGGTATCTCAGCTGAGCACTTTACAATGATGACACTATAGTCTATGAACTATCCACATGCACAAATTAAAATATATCTTTTTAAAGCCTATTAACACCACTACTTTGAACAGTGTTTCTGTTCTTTCCTCTTCTCCAGGAAAGCTTTGCTAGGCACCCTTCCCTTCCTCAGCCTCTCCCCACTGTTCCCCCCTTCCTTCTTCCTGATTTTTGAACCATCCTGGCAGTGGGGACCATTTCTGCAAACTGCTGCAGAGGCAGCTTCCTCCACAGAGCTGGGCAGCCACAGGCACCACCAAAACTGATGAGAGGCTTCAGGTCATGGCCTAATTATTGGGGATTGGCATCCAAGAGGTGTCCCATGAAACCTCACTAAAGGTGCCTTGAGTTTTCAGCGACAGACTGTACCTGAGTCATTGGTGATGCTTGCATCACCACTTCTGCTTTTCACTTGGCTTTTTCAGGACTGTACTAGTTAATGCTTTTTGGCTGTCACACAGGTTTTTTTTTCCTTTCTGGCTTTCATATTGAGGCCATCTTGGTTGTTCAGAACACCAAGAGGTTTTTCCATAAGGAAAAAGATTAAATCCATAAAAGATGATAAATCAGTCTTAATTTTCTGTGAACAATGTTTTTAGACTTGGATTCTACATCTAACCTCAAAGAAATCTGTGTTTGGTTGGCTAAACTGAAATATGATATCTTACATGAATACTTAGAGGTATCACTCTCTTCAATGGGAGTAACAGATACATCTGACAATGGATTTTGCCATCCAACTTTAGGAGCTCACATTGAGAATTTTGGTCCTAATGTTTGCTGCAACCTTAGATTTGGGTCCAATCCACCTGGCAGTGTCCCTTTAAACAGGAGTTTCCCCACAGCTGCATTCTCTGGTTCTGAGATGTTTTAGGATGCTTTTCATATACTACAGTTTCTGAAGGTCAGTGCGTACACATCTTAAGACACAGTGATTAGACAGTGTATGGAACTACTTGGCAGTATTTAGCTGGTACAGTTTCTTGTGGAAACAACAGAATTCCAAAATACACCACACTGAATGCTTATGGGTTATTACAAGCAAAAATCCCAAGACACCGGGAATTAAAAAGCGGAGTTCAACAAAGGAACACTGATATCGTCGGTTGATATGAACAAAGGTGTGCCAAGTCTTCCTTCTCTGCTTTTTCAAGTGGAGAAATAAACTGGGAAATGAAGCAGAAGGAAAGAAAGATTTAAAAAAAAAGACAAACCCAGGAATTATTACAGAGTTTCTGTTGTGCTTTATCTCACAGCAGTGTGTGGTGTCAGAGGACTGCAAACACCCTTAGCCCATCCTAGCTGAAGGAGCGTGACGTGTCTGGCACACAGTATTCCTTCCTGGCAGACACGGGCATGCTCCTCCTGTGTCCAAGGGAATCTGGAGGGGAAACTGGAGTAGAAAGCAGGGGAGACTGTGGCTCAGAAGGCAGAGAGGGCAGGGACTGACAGTGATGTTAGCTGCTGTCCCCAGCCCCAGCAAAGCCGTGTGCTGTACTGCATCCTCCTGCTGTGCAGCACCCATGGCAGCTGGCTGCTGTGAGGGATGTCTGCACCCACAGCCGCCCCCGTGGAGGGCATGGCCTTGTTCCCACTCAAATCAGACTGGAAAAGCCATGCAGGCCTTGTCTAACAGCACTTGGATGCTTGATGTCTATGGGATTTAAACATATACTTGAGAGCTACTGTAAATAAACAGCATTGAATTAAATACACAAGGTCTTTCCTGAAGCTGCAACCTTTAGGCACTTATCACAGAGGAATCAAATAGACTGGGAAAATAATTTGAACAACAGGTACACTCAAATCTCACTTGCCTGGTAGTGCATCTCAGTGTGGTGAGCCACGGCCTGGGTTGAAAAATGTGACACTCATGTTTGTGATTAAATACCCTAAACTCAAACCACGTCAAACATGCACTGGCTTTTTTATTCTTTTTTTTTTAATTTAGCACAACAGACATTCAGCATTTTAAACCAGGAGTGAAACAATATTCTTACTTATATATGTTTCAGCCTAAACTTTCATGGAGGAGATATGAGCTATCTTGACCACTTTTTACTTTCTTAAAACTCACATAATGCTTAATGAGGAACACCCAGCAATTAGTTCAGTGGCTGCACATCTTCTTTTGTCTGGTTGCTGCACAAGGGCTGGTCTTTCTCTTGAGTACTCAGTTAATATAGTTAAATTAATATCTAACCATTTCCCATTCTTGCTGTATCAGTGTTACGAAACCCTGGAATTATTCTGGGTCACTCTGGTGCCAGCATTCATAAGGCTAATAAACTGTCACATGTATCTCATTCCTTTTAGTCATGTTTACAGGTGATCCTGCAAGCTTTCTTTACAGGAGCAACAGAAGAAAATGGAAACATGCTGAGTATCAGGCATGTAACTTGAGAGCTGGGAATTAGCTCACATCCACAGTCTGGCCTTCTGGTGAATCTCTTCTGGGTTACTACCTGCATTGTGTATCTGAAGAAATCTCCCTTTCAGGAGTTAATGCCATATTACAGTTATGTCACCTAACAGCTGTTGCTAACACAGGGTTACATAAATGAAATGTTCAGTTCCTGTCATTACAAGGTCCCCGAGTCCCAACCAGCACGACTGCTATTATTCATTCATAGCTAACTTCCCACAACAACTGCGTGGAACGAGATGATCTTTTGAGAGAGGAAGTCAGTGAGACTTTGAGCCATCTTTTAACAACATTTGGGCATTTGAGGTGCAAAAGGATCTTCAGAAACACTGACATCTCAAATTCTAGCTGATATGGTAGAAACCAAGCACCTACACGCTTTTAAAAAATTCATTAGATGCCTGTTTGCCTGTGTGCCTTCACCCTCTTTTTATAGGCATGAGGTATTTCAGGAATTACTGTTCTTAGTAGAAAACACCGGGACTGTGGCAGTCATCATACTGAAAGGAAGATCTCTGAGACTGCATAAAAATTTATTTAAAACATAAAAAGGGAGAGCTTTTAATCCTAGGGAAAGTTATGTAACATGCTAATGTTAAAAACATTAAATGTCAACAAATTCTGCCAATATGTGTCCAGGGAGTTTGCAGTAATTCTCACTATGAAAGCATATCACTAGAAGGGAAATTTCACAAATTAATCAGTTTAAATATTTTATATCCATTTTTTGTTGCTTTGTTTTTTAATGTATCAGCCATTCTTAAGTCACAAGCTATTGAGATCATAAATAAAAGGGAAAATGAATTACTCACTTATAATTATAATGAGAATGATTGCACATACTACACCGAGGATGATCATCATCTGTAAAAAGAGAAGATGTAAGAAAGAAAAAGTCAGGTTTTCATGTGAGAGACATTAACCCCTCAATTTTTTTGCTTTTGCTTAGTGACTCATTCCTGACACTTTTAACTCTTGTAAAGACTTACTGCAACAGACTTGCTAAGGCCCAGATTTATTGCTGGTTTTCAAATCAACAATGGACAGAACCTCTTGTTAAAGCTGGTCAGCTAAAGATACAGTGACCAACCTCAACCATTCCCAGCGGCAAAGAAAAACTCAATTTCCAAAGTAAAACAGCTCCCGTGGCTGGGTTCACACGTGGCCAGGTACCACGTTACACCAGAGTCACCTCATCCCTTCTCCCCACCTTCTGAAGCCGGTGAGGAGGCAGCTGGAGCTGCCCAAGCCCATCAGCTGTTTGTGCTGCTGCTGGTGAGATAAGAAGCTGAAGATAGCCAGGACAGTCACCAGGACAATAGCCAGGACAGTCACCAGGACAGTCGCCAGGACAATAGCCAGGACAGTCACCAGGACAGTCACCAGGACAGTTGCCAGGACAGTCGCCAGGACAATAGCCAGCAGGTTCTCCTGGAAACAGCTCAGTGCAAAGCAGGAGGCTGCTCCCCCAGGCAGAGGCAGCTGGGCACAGCCCACAGCAGCAGGGAGCTGCCTCAGAGCCCCCTGAGACTCCCTGGAAGCCGATGAGCCCTCCAGGGAGGCTGCAGTCCAGTTGCCATTATTACCCCAGTGAGCAGAAAGAATGAACAACAACATGGGCATGTCAAATCAAGGCCTTCATTCCTCCGAACACGAGGACAGAGCCAGCTATTGGCTTGCAGGAGATTATTTTTTAATTTCTTCCCTCTCTTTGCAGAGTTGGGAGCCAGAGGAAACACAGGGGGATTGTTTGTCAGGAGAAAGCAGGAAGGGATGATGAGGAAAGGAGAATGAGGGCAGGTTTGAAGGTCTAGGGTAGTGCAGGTCACTGTGGTGACTGCAGTCACATGGGTGAACCTAGCTGAAAATCTATGCTTGTAGCTCCCAAAAGCCCTGCTTCCTGCACTTCTGGGCTATATCAGTTGGGCAACAGCTAAAAGAGGCCCAGAAGATCTGCTCAGCTGAATTTCTAATATAGATCCTTTTATTTCTGGAGTCTTTTTACATGTAGTTTACCCAGAATATTTTGTCTTCCTTTACATTTCACAGCACTGTGGATTGAAGAGACAAAGCAGAGAACAGTGAGGGATACATGTGGGATTCCCCCTTGGGAGCAGCTGGTTTTATTTGGGTGGACATTAGTGCTCAGCAGGAATTTTGGTGTTGAGAAATGGAAATGAAGCTGAACTTTTGGCACATGGTGGTTTTGCATGAGCAGGAAGAAGCAAAGATATGAGCCTTAGAAGAGTAAGAGGAGATGAAGTTTCTGGATCCAAAATCCACAAATGCTGGAGAAGGTCTGAACAAGCAAAGTAGAGTGAGGTTCCCTCTGCTCTTGGGAAAGGATTAGACTTTGGAGACAGCAGAGAACGCAGCTGGTTGATCAAAGTCCTGCTCTATCATAACCAGCCCCTCTTCATAAGAGACTGTCATTTTCTCCCTTCTCACAGCAGTTTGCAGAGCCCAGTTTTGGGTATTTTTTATGGTTTACCATCCTGAAGAAAAATCAAATCAATCATTCCCACAAGGAAAAAGCTTCTTTTCCCCCACTGCTAGAATTCACTGCACCTGATCAGGTTTTGTAGTTCCTACAGAGAACTGACACGAATTGACATGGAATGCTTTCCCATCCCTATTTGAAGGCACTGGGGAAGCATCAGAAATTGTATCTACATTTTATGTACTGCAGAAATTATGGGTTATGGTAAAGATCAAAGTTGCTTGACTTCTGGAGCCTCGAGGTCAAGGCACCTCTTTCTCACCTTGATGGGAAGAGATGACTCAGAGGTGCCATCCTGCAGGCAAAGTCCCACTAAATGCAAGTGAAAGCAATTCCTGCCACGAAGTGATTCCGAACAGGGATTTATATTCCTTACCTTGCAATTTTTCCACCAGTATTTCCTCTTCAGCTTGGCTGCACTGGTCTCAAACTGTGAGGCACCTGCTTGCAAGGCATCTGCCCGGTTGTCAAGCTCCGACAGCTTCTGGTCCCTTTCCAGCACCTTGTCCACGTTCATCCTCATGATGTCCACCACCTGCGGAGGCACAGACACACCTGAGACCCCTCCCACAGCAAAGCTGAGGGGCCCATCTGGTCACACCCTGGAGTGTCACACCTCGTCCTAAAACCAGCTGTGGGAATTGGAAAAACAGAAACTTCCACAGACGCAGGAGGGTTTGATCTGCAGCCTTGGAAGAAGCTTGGATTGATGTAAAAATAAAGTACTCAGACATTAAGCAGAAAAATCATAAATTTATGTTTTTACAGTTGTAAGTAAGAACATGCCTTAAGTAAATGAGAAACTGCATTTGATAAGACAGTGAAGGATTTGCAGTGTAGGGGTGTGGTTGTATAGAGTAGCTAAGAGTTTAGAGGTTATAATAGAAGAATTTGTGTGCATGTGAGACAGACCCCCATGGGTAAAAGTAACCACAGTGCAGCAAAATTAAGTAAAGGTGATAGGTTAGAAAAGCAAAATAAACTTTATGGCAACTGTCTATTGGATCAGAAAGTTCTATATTGCTTTGTAATGAAGAACTTGTGACTACTTTGAGTTATGGTTGATACTTGCTCCTCTAAAATCTGACAGCCTCTAAGACTGATGTTTATCTGAGCAATAAATCATTCTCAGCCCCAGAACAGTCCCATCCCTTCATTAAAAGCAGTGACAGTGATACCCAGCCTTTTGCCATGTGGTGTGTGTGGCATTCCCTGGGCACTGCCTCAAAACCCCAGCTGTGGAAACGCCCTCAGAGAGCTACAGTGTGCTGGATGCCCTTTAAGGTAGAAAATAAAGAGACCTCATTAAACACCACAGTCAGTTTCATTAAAGTTTTTGATTTCTTTCACACAGATACAAAAACCTGATGAAGATCTCTAAGCACAATTTGATTGACATCACCAAGAACAAGCCATTCTTTTCCTTCTGCATTTAATACCTTCCTTACCTGAAGCAGAGAAAGCAGACAGATAAAGGCCATTCTAAAGGGAACTGTATGCATTTCCTTACCAAAGCATTCCCTCATTCTGCAGATCACTTGGACAAGGTGACATCTCAGCCATGATCTGAAGTCCTGCTTGGGAGTGGAGGAGGAGAACATTTCACCTGAGCAAATTCAGCCCAAAGAGCAGCAGAGAGCTCAGGCTCATTGCACAGCCAGGGCACAACTGGCAGGGGCTCTTCATGCATTTATTTTCTACATTGTCTAAGGTGAAAATCCTCTTCTAGCAAGCCAATAACTACGTGGGAATCCCATAGAAAGTCACCACTAATGCAAATGTCAGACAGTGTCACAATCTCTGTAAAGCTGTGTCCAATTTTTCTAGCAGCAAATGAAGCTGATGGTCTTAATTCCCCTATTCTATAATTCTATGTTATACCTATTTAATAAAATTTAACTATTACCTGCAAAAATCCAGAATTATATAAAGGATACATTATTCAAAGACAGCGAGAGGAAATTGGTAGTGAAAGAATCTTTAACTGGCAGATGGGCTCAAAAGAATTGTTTCATTTGTCTACCAAACCTAAACCAAAATGAAACATTTTGGTCAATCCAAATTTTCTTACTTTCTTTTCCAAACCAAAAACCTTCCAAGCACTTAACTTCATATAAAACAATGATAATTTTTTTTAATTATTGATTTCTCAGCTAGTAATTAGTTGGATCTTATCGTGCTAAAATGATTTGTAGTGAAAATTATAAACTATTTGAAAATGCTGAAACAAAATACTACTTCCTATCCATTCTCTTCGCTTTTTGGGGTTTTGCTCAGGGTTTTTTGTTTGTGGGTTTATTTGTTTGCTTAGTTTTTGTTTTTTTTTAATTCATTTCATTTTGGGTGGTTGGTTGGTTGGTTGGTTTTTCGTTGGTTTTTTGGGGGGTTTTGGGTTGGGGGTTTTTTTTTCCCCCTTTTTTTAGCTTGTTTTTGTTTTGGGGGTTTTTTGGGGGGTGGGGTTTTTTGGTTTTGGTTTTTGTTGGGTTTTTTTTGTGGTTTTTTTGGGGGGGGGTTGTTTTTTTATTGTTTGGGGTTGTTTTTTTGTGGTTTTTTTGTTTTTTTTTTTTTTTTTAGTTTTGCTGGCAGTTTTTTGTTTGTTCGTTTTTTGGGTTTTTTACAAAAAATTGTTTTGGCTTTTTGTTTTGTGTTTGTTTGTTTGTTTGTTTGTTTCCCCAGAACTACTTACCGACTCCAACCTGCCTGCAGTGAACACTTGCCCCGGTGAGATTTCATTTTTGTCGAACGGATAGATGCTGCCTGGGCCTCAGCAAGGGAGCTGTACGATGTGCAGAGGAAGGGGGCAGCCCCAGGAGAGGAGCACAGGGAACACCTGCGGGCAGCCCAGGAGCAGCAGGGACACCCGCGGGCAGCCCCAGGAGCAGCAGGGACACCCACGGGCAGCCCAGCCCAGCCAAGGAGCAGCAGAGGAGCAGCAGGGACACCCGCGGGCAGCCCCAGGAGCAGCAGGGACACCCGCGGGCAGCCCAGCCCAGCCCAGCCCAGGAGCAGCAGGGACACCCGCGGGCAGCCCCAGCCCCTCACGGCGGCGGCGCCGGGCCCGGGCTCTGCTGCCCCCTGCGGGCCCACAGACTGCAGCAGGGCCGCCACAGGGCCGGCCGCGGCTCGGGCGAACAGCGAGAAAAGGCCTTTCACTGCGGTGTTTAATGAGTGGCTTTGTGGTAGTGAAGCCTCAGGATTTTAGCTTTTCTATTTTTCCGATCCTGTCAGCTGCTGCTCTCCCTTCAGACACAACAGTTCCTCTCCAGGCCTGAAACTCAAGGACACCTCACTGCCTCAGGCCCCAAAAAGCACAAACAAAAGTGAATTGGAGCAAGCAAACTGGGGGTAAATGACTTCATTAGCTGAAGCTGTAATCGTAGGATTAACCCCTGATGCATAAACTTATAATTGTCTGAAAAACTGGTGCCCATTGTCCAACTTGGGTGTGGCCTCTGGGAGGCTGTGACTGCCCAGGGTGTGGCTGTTGAAGGTCTTTAATAAATACCCACTTTATTCTCTTAATCTTGTCTGGCCTCTGTTCCAGGCAGCCCCTCCAAGGCATCAGTACAACAATTCATCAAGGTGCAATATGCCAAAATGCACACACACAGCAGATCATGCATATAAATGTATAGACCTTGCAAATCAGCATATCTAACAAAGATGCCTCAATGAGAGGGTTAAATGAATGGCCTGACATCTCCCTATTCTAAAGTATTCCCCCCCAGAGGGGCCTAATTTTAGTTTATAAGATATGTTTTAGAAGGGACCCTGGTATCTTGAGATAGCATGAGGCTTTCCAGTCCCCAGCTGTAAGGCTTTTAAGATGTTTGGCCTTGTGGCCTAGCAAAATACCAGGAATATGTTAAGATATTAAGTTTAAAAAAAATTACAAATATACATGTTAAGGGCACTGAGAACACATAAAAGGTATATAAAAAGAAAAAGTAAAAAAAAAAAAAATCATGGATTTTCATGGGTCTGAGTGAACAGAGTCAGAATCCAGAGTATCTTAAACACAAAGCAGAGGTTTACTACCCTCACTGATGCCATCTCTACTGATCTGCTTGAAGAGCCCTATCTATCTGACAGGCATCACTCATTTTAAGATAATAAAGGCAATTTTAATCATCTTTTAAGGACAGTTACTTTTACTGTCATTCACATAAACAATTACAGGACCTTCATGATGTAACATGTTCAGGACAGGAAGTTTATTTTATTATTCTGACCAAAGACAAAAGTTGAAATGTAACATTCCTTTCCCCTGGAAGAGGAAATGAAGACAGAACCAAGTCTAGACATTTCTGCAGCCAGAGGGTGTTGTGAACTCATCTGAGCACCAACAATGGGAAGACCAGAAAGTCACTGTTCCAGATTTTCAACAAAGAAAAGCTTCTCAAAAAGACAAAGCCCATGTTGACAGGTGCATTTAACTCATATTAAGAAATGCATTTCAGTTGGTTATTTTGAGGTCCTCTCTACTATCTTTAAAGCGTGCCCAAAGCTTTTGAAAATAGAGGCCTTTAGGCATGGAAGTACGTATTTTCTAATGTGTATTTTATCAAATTGGCATTTAAGAATCACACAAGCTCTGTGCACTTCACCACAGACAGTAAGCAGTGAGTTACTTCAGCCTTTGGAGGGGTTTAGCAATATTCTTTCCTCAGTAGCCAGCACACACATGCACACAGCAGGTGTGTAAGGATGCCACAGCTGCTGCTGTCCTCCTGGCACACCCAGGGCAGTGGTGTGCTCACTGTGCCCATTCCCAGAGCAGCTGCAGGGACCCTGGCATTACAAGAATGTAAGAATCCAAGCTGAAACAGGCACATGGTCCCCAAGATCAAGAAAAGAGTGGGGATTTGTTAAAGATGCTGCTATGACATCATGTGTGGGTGCTTTCCTTTGGGAATAAATTGGGATGATTAATCAATAGAGCTCTTGCTAATGAACGCCGCCCTCAGTGGCTCAGTTCTGGTGGTTTTAATCTATCTGGGAGAAGCTGCTGGTCTTCTGTCTCTGTGAAACAGTCTGAGAAATTAGCATCTAACCTTTAGGAGTGCTGAACACACTAAACGGCTGCTTCCACTATGACATCTCCTCCTAAGCAGAAGGGCTGGGAGGAATTCCTGACCTGGCAGCAATGCCCACATTCAATCTGCAGAGCTGCTCCTGGTGCAGGGATGTTTGTATCCAGGATCTCTCTTTGCTGCCTGCCTCCTCTGGTAAATGCCATGTCCTGGACCCCGAGCCTTCAGATGGGCAGGAGCTGCACAAGGGGAAGCAAGCCCAGCAGCACCTTGTGCTGGGCACTCACCTCGTCCACCTGGGCTTGTGTCTGCTGCAGCCTCTTGTTGCTGGACACGTTGGTGGCAGGGGGGGGCCCTGCAGCCCCTGCAGCCCCTGCGGGACCCTGGGCAGATGCTGGAACAGACCTAGGGCAGAACAGAGAACCAGAGTGACCAAACCATCTTGACTTGTTCACGACCCTTTTTCTGGAACTCGTAAAAAGTACCTTTCTCTTCAAAGAACTTTTGAAGTTTCAAAGTACCTTCTTCTTCTTCAAAGACCTTTTCAATTGTTTCAATCACTGTTTTCCATTCCTGGATCACAACCCAACTGTTCCATTCTGTCAGACAATACTATTTTCTGACCCAGAGATGGGGCAACTGAGAGGCATTTTAAACACTTTTATTCCATTTTCAGTCTCATGGGAATGGTGAGAAAATACAGATGTTACAATTCACTCCACCACAATCAGAAGCCAACTATTTTTTAATTACAAAACACTGTAAGCCTTTCTTGGCCTATCAGCTTTTATCCACACCATGCTGTAGGTGCCTTAAAGCCAATAATTTAAAATTTCCCCTTGTGGGTCCCACTACAATGCATCTTTCATAGTTCTATTTCCCCAAAGTACCCAGTTTTTTTTGTAAGGCCGTCCTTTGAAACTTGTTTCTAGTTCCATTTCTCTCTCAACAATTTCTGTCCTATTCCATGGCATTTCTAATTCAGCATTTCTTATCTCAAGGTTTGTATACAGAGGCATGCTATGTGAGCCTTCTGCCAAGTTTTGAAAATTTTCTACCAATCTACTTCTCACACCATTCCTTCTCATACCACAATCAGTTTTTACACTGTTTCTTGATGGGACTTTATCAACTCTTCCACCTCCCTTGCTGCTTTTTAAAATGGCAAACACTTCAGATTATCTACCCTAAGTTAGGCCAAGGCCAAACTGATCATAGGCCTAACTATCAGGACAGAGCTTATGTCCCACCAAGGAAACCCACTGTGATCTAGGTACTCTGTGTTAATGAGATATATACTACATAATACTATTATATATTATATATCTGATTATACAAGGTAGATAATAAAGGAGATGGACTGTGACCCCCTCAGTGTGCTGAGTGAAGCACTGCCCTGCTCCTCGTGTTTGCACCTCACAAAGCAAAGAGAAAGAAAGAAACAATCAGAAACAGGAGATCACATCCATCACAAACAGGAGCGAGGAGAGAGAAACAGAGGAGGAAGTGGGGCTGAGAACTGCACACAGCGAGGGGGTCAGTCATCTCTGGCACCAGTAAAGCTGACCCTCCCCAGTCCTGGTCCCCAAAGTCCCACCAGGGGCTTCAGCACATCCACAGCCCCTGGAGGAGCAGTGGCAGCACTGCTGTGAGCAGAGCCCTGACCTTCTGCACAGCAGCTCCTCACCTGCAGCACTGCCTTTCTCCAGCCTGCTCTGGCACAAAGCACGAAACAGAGCGTCCGGAAAACCCAACAGCAGACCTGCTCCGCCTCAGAGTGAGAGTTTGTGCAGAAAAATCACCCACCAGCCTGAGCAGGGTCCCTGAGCTTCAGCCAGTCATCCCTCACACCCACTCTCTACCCTGTGAAACCTCCTCTTCCAAGGGACCCCTCTCACTGCTCCCCACAGGGAAATAAAACATTCCTCAAGCGGCAGAGGAAATCCCTGAGCATGTCAACTGAAAAATATCACAAATCCCACTCATGCATTACCAATGCCTTCCCACAGTGACAGACTGAGAGAACACAGTGTTTCTCTGTGAATCATTCCCTTCTACATCCTGGGCTCTGATTAATGCTGCTGGAATTATGGCCTCATTAATACACTGTCAAAATGCCTGGGGGCACTGAAGTTAGCTCCCCAAAGGTGCCTTCAGCTGCAAACTTCAGTTTGACAGCTTTGCCTGGGGGCTGAGGTCCCTGTGGGCAGCGCTGGCCCCCAGAAGCTCCCAGAGAAGGAGCAGCTGTGTGCAGCGCTGCTGGGGCTCACACCTCGCTCTCCATCTGGGGGTGGCAATGCCATTAGCAAGCTTCAGCTGAAAGAGCAGAAATTGAACCATCCTACTTGCTCATCCTTTGAGGACCTCAAGGCCACTACTACAAACATGAAAAACAGAGGCTGCTGCCACCTGCCAGGGAAGCACTCCATTGATGGCCACGGGCCAGCATCCCAACAGGATTTATTCTGAGTCGTCACAAAGGATCAGAATCTGACTATAATGTATATCACACACAACTCAAAACAAGATCTCCCTGGAGCATCAACAGCCTCAAAGGAGATCCTTGGTACAACAACAACAGAGCTAAAATTAAAATTGTAAAACTTCTTTGCAGTTAAGGAAGTAAACAGGCATTTTCCCAATCACAAAAGCAGATTTTTTCCTGTGGAAACACTGTGTCACTACTACAAACATCAGGAGAGCTCCTCTCTTGAGTTATGCACTGTTGGAATCCCAGAGACTACACAAGAGGAGTATGTGAGAAGAGTTTTTCCTTGCCACATGTTTTGCTGTAAGCAGAGCTTATAAATTCAGTGAAGTTCTTGGTCAGAGCTATGAGATATCTCCAGATTTGGAGCTCTGCCATGCACCTTTTCTGCCTAGTAATTCCCATCTTCTTTCTGCAGCTCCCAAACTGTCCTTAAAATGACTTGACATACAGTAGACACTTTCAAGGTTGTTCTCTTCCAGCATTCTTGCTGCCATCTAATTTGGTTTCAGCTGCATTTTCTGGGGCTTCTCTGCTCCCTGCACCAGGCAGGAGTTGATGGGAAGGATGGGTGTTTTTACACTTGCCCTGACATCCAGCAGGAGTTACTGCAACCACCAAAGAGAGGTGACAATCTTTATGCTCAGGCACAGCAAGCTCATAATCAACATACTTAATTAATGACCTAAAATCTAACCCAAGCTTTCTGGTAAAGAAGGGAGCTGAAGGCCTGCATCACTTGAAAGCACAGACATTCTCTGCGATATCACAGAGCAAAAATTCTGGAATTGAAGTCCAGCCTACATTTACATCATTCTTCCTGCATTTACATAATTCTTCTATTATTGCCTCTGTACCATGTCTTATCAGCTTATAATTTCTCAGAAATGTTATTCAAAGAAATTTATGCAAAAATATTAGCTCTATGTTGTAGAAGCTTCCTTTTGAAATACATGAAGCATCACAACTTTAAAGTATAATTTCTCATGGTCTGGCATGATTTTGGGGAGCTACAAAGAATGCAAAATCCATATAAAAGCTCCATCATTAGGCCCCTAGCCATCAGACTTGTGTACTTTTTTTTTATTAAAAGAAAAAAAATTGCCATTGGTGCTAAGAACTGCCATTCCCAAGAACAAGTCAAATTAATTTTGAAAGAGGAACAAAATTCTGTTATTGTTGGTGAAAAATGGTACAAATACCTAGCAAATACTCTTAAATGGCAGCCACCCTGTGCCATCAGAGCACCAGAGATTTGGATCAGGCAGCACAGGAGCAGCCCAGCAGACTGAAAGCACTGCAGGCTCTGTGTTTGCAGCCACCTTGGAAGAAAGGTCCAGGGACTTTCTGAGTGATTCAGCAAAATGGTCTCAGCTGACTCAGACATCCTCAGCTCTTCCAGTTGGGCCTGAAACTGGTGGGTCAAATTCATGACTGAGAGATTTGTCATCTCACTGAGATGTTTTGGAAGCAACTTCCAGTTTAGATCTGACAGTCAAAGGCAGCTGCAACTCTTAATTGAAAGAGAATTGGAGATATCCAGTGTTACTGTTCTGCATTTCAGCACTGGCTGAAAAACATTAAGGATGATTGTGTGTCTAATATTTTGGGAAACTATCTGACACACACTTTCATTTTTGTTCATATGTGTGAGCTACACAGCAGAATTTTTTCCCTTAGTCAGGCTAGGGAAGGGAGAGGCAAATACCAGGAGGATGCAAGGCCACCACTGTGCCTTGGTACAGTTCACATGAGGACCTCCAAGGCTGCTTTCAGCATCTTCTTTTACCCATCCAAAGTGCTTTTCAAAGCCTCCAACTACAGGACCTAATCCTTCAAAGTCTTTATCCTCACAACACTGCTCTAAGCTAAGGAAAGCTGTTATCCCACACATGGCTGGGAACAGGTACAGCGGGACGGAGGGGCTTCTCCATGGCACAGAAAGGCTGGGGCAGAGCAGCCCAGCTCTCCACTGTCCTCCTCCTGCTCCTGCCCAACTCTGACTCCAGTCAGAGCTCACAACCTATTTCTAGCAGCAGGAGTTATTTTCTATATAAATAGTGAGAAACACAGCTGAAGCTGTGCACATGGGAAGTGAGAATCACATCAGACAGCTTCAGGGGGTGTCAGCTGCCAGAGCTCAGGGGAGGGGCACTGAGTGTGCATCAGTGCAGCAGATCTGATTCATGATCCCTACCAAAAATGAAAGGAATTTTTGAAGAACCCCTGTCTGAGTCCTCTTTCCCTCAAACCCTTTCCCTGTTGTTCAAATAAAACAAAATTGCACTGCGTCTCTTCCCTTTTTAATTTTTTTTTAACTGTTCAGATGTGATATTTGTGTAGTACATATTTACTGCTATAACTTACACATATTTAAGACACTTTTTCCATGTGGACCCCTTCAAAAGGCACCCACCCATCTGGGCTTTGCTGTGGGAGCAGAGTCTGACAGTCTGTGGTTGCAAAGGCATTTGGAAAATACACCACAAACACCCCTTTGTTCAACTGCAAAGTAAATCAGAACTCTGCCATATCTTTGTACTCTTGAGATTTAACTGTAAAACAATTATTAAAATTAGCTACAAATGCACATTTATACACTATTTTAGTGCATATCAGTGAAGATTCTGGCCCAAGGAGCAGCTGCAGAAACAAACCCATCTCACATTGTCCCTGGTGCAGGGAATGTTCATCTGGGAATTGGGATGCACTGGGAAGCTTTGAGTGACGAGGGTCTCTAAGGGAATAAAGAAGCTCAATAGCCCTGGGGGTTTGCTGTTGGTTTTGGGCTTGCCTTGTTTATTCCTACGCAGTAACAGCTAAACCAATTTTTCCACTGATAGTTTGCAGGGAGGGACTTGTACTGACTGTGCCTGGAGATTTCTGCGTCCTGGAGGAATTTGCAGGTTTCCAGTTT